GTCTCAGCTTACTGCAACCTCCACCTCCTGGGCTTAAGCAATCCTCCCACCTCAGCCTCCTGAGTAGCTGGGACTAGAGGCACATGCCACCATGGTTGGCTAATTTTTGTTTTGTTTTGTTTTTTTGCAGAGACAAGGTTTTGCCATATTGCCCAGGCTGGTCTCAAACTCCTGGGCTCAGGTAATCCTCCCGCCTCAGCTCCCAAAGTGCTGGGATTACATATGTGAGCTGCCATGCCTGGTCTCTACCCATTCTTAATTGGCAATGTTTTCTAATTATATTTCTTGGCTGCTTTTTTTTTTTTTTCATTTTAATGTTACCATGTTGTTTCAACTACCAAAAATCTAGTTGAATCCTAGATCAAGTATCTTGTCCAGCAGAAAGTAGAAATTTATTCAGTTGAAGCTATATCGTTAGTCCTGGTCTCTGATATGTTCTAGACCTGTGTTTCTAAAAGTTTGTTTATCATATCTACCTCAGTGTCTACTGGTGCCTTCAAATCCAATAATCAGACATTTCCCCAAACCTGCCCCACTCCCTGAATTCCCTATGTATAAGTGAGTAGCACCATCATCTACCCAGTCACCAAGTTGAAAACCTAGGAATTATCTTAACTTCTTCCTTTCTTTGTCTGCCATACCCAGTTTGTCACCAAGCTCTGCCAAGTACTTTGTGAAATGACCCTCAGATTCTCCTACTCCTGCTTATCTTCATCAGCACTGCCTGTCACTCTTTATCATCTCTTGCCTGGATTTTTTCCAATGGTCTTCTAACTTGTATTCATATTCCATGATGCCTCTAGATTTATTTCTCTAAAACATAAATTTAGGGCCAGGTGTGGTGGGTCATGCCTATAATTCCAGCACTTCAGGAAGCTGTGTCAGGAGGATACCTTGAGGCCAAGAGTTTGAGTCCAGCTTGGACAACAAAATGAGGCTCTGTCTGTACAAAACATTTAAAAATAAAAAAAGATTTTAAAAACATACATTTGAACGTGTCTCTATATAACCCATGACTCCTTACTTCCTACAGCATAAATTCATTCATAGTCTGACTGTGCAGCCTCACCCTTTACCACAACCCCCTATAAGCCCCACACTATAGCAGCTATATAACATAGCATAGCATTTTACAAATAAACCATGATTTCTTTTCTTTCTTTGTTTTTTATTGCAGTTCTTCTCTTTGTCTTTCTGATGGGCATCTACTCTCTATAAGTCCCAGCTGTCTAGCTCAAATATGTCTTCTGTACCCACATGGTACTTCTACCTATATTGTTATATTTTACGTCCTTTACACTACTAGTCCTAGGGCTAGGAGCCCAAATGCTGATTTTTAATAAAGACATCAAAGACTATGAAATAGAAACAACATATGCCAAAATTAAAGAGCTTGACAGGGCAAAAAATTGAAAGAAATTAAACAACTAGTTGAGATAACATTTTAAAAAGTATTTTTAAATGTTTATTATATTTAACTGTTTGAAGGAATCATGAAGAAGGAGAAATTAAAAATATAAAAGGAGGCCAGGTGCAGTGGCTCACGCCTGTAAATCCCAACACTTTGGGAGGCCAAGGCGGGTGGATCACGTGAGGTCAGGAGTTCAAGACCAACCTGGCCAACATGGTGAAACCCCGTCTCTACTAAAAATACAAAAATTAGCCGGACATGATAGCAGACACCTGTAATCCCAACTACTTGGGAGGCTGAGCCTGGACAATTGCTTGAGCCCAGGAGGCAGAGGTTACAGTGAGCCAAGATCGCGCCACTTTACTCCAGCCTGGGCAACAAGGGCGAAACTCCATCTCAAAACATAAATAAAAAGAATAAAATAAATAAATAATATAAAAGGAGCAAGGACTTAAGAAGGAGATACTTGGGAAAAAGCTACCTTTGGAAATAAATAGAAAGTTTGTTTTTTCCTATCTGGGATGAATACATGAAAATTTAAATCTATAAATAATGGAATGTTGAGCTGAAAATGAAGGTAAAGCAAGAGCGCCGATACCTTCAATGTATGACAGGAAGACAGAATATTTACTCAGGATGGTGTAATCACCATGAGTGCCAGCTCACAAGAGTCCACTGTTAAATATTCAGGAATTTCATGAGCTGTTTGTTAAACCACTGTTAGCTTAAAATCTGCCATGTGGAAATATTTACACCACAGTAACTGGCAAATACTATAAATCAGGGCTTTTTGTCCCCCATGAAGTTTACTGGGTTTACTGACACATTACCAGTAAGCTTCAAGACTTTCATAAAGGCTGATCCAAAAATGCTTCCAGATATTAGTTAAGATGAGGTGGAAGTTGGAGAGCATGATTACACTTTGGATCTTGTCAACCTTGTTCTGTGTTTCTCTCCAGGAAATCTGTGCTTTAAAACAGAAAGGTTGGCTGGCTAGAGGGTGATCAAAGAAATGGAAATTAACTAAGTAGGCTTTATGATAATAAATTTAAGACATTGGAGCGAGAAATAAAATGTTGACAGTGCCACGAAGCAGGGGCAGAGGCAATTTAGTCATAAACTACAATAGAGAAATAATGTACTAAGTAAACATGGTGGAATTGTGATCCTAGAAAACCCTGGTTGGAATATAGAGTAATTTTTGTAAGTATCATGAGGAAGAAGAAAGATGTCAGGCAAGGGAGTTAGTTGTTCAGTAAAGAGTCTTAGGATATGATCATACTCATAAATGGAGGTGAGGGGAGTATACTGTAAAGTAAAGGAAGGTAGTGAACTGTAAATTCCAAAGATCTAAAGGCTAATTAGATTGTACCTTAAAGTTGCTTAAGAATGATGATAGGCAATATAGAGTGACAGAAGAACATGAGCCAAGTGCTAAAAACAGAGAGAGATGAAATTGGTCCTAGGAGCCAATAGATAAATTGGTGATTTGGAAAAGGCAGACTCACATTTAAATAAGGAGAAGTAGGCCCGGCACAGCGGCTCACGCCTTTAATCCTGACACTTTGGGAGGTCAAGGCAGGTGGATTGCTTGGCTCAGGAGTTTGAGACCAGCATGGGCAACATAGAAAAACTGCATCTCTACAAAAAATTAAAAATTAGCCAGGCGTAGTGGAGCACGCCTTAGTCCCAACTACTTGTGGGGCCAAAGTAGGAGGATCTCTTGAGCCCAGGAGGTCGAGACTGCAGTGAGCCGTGTTTGTCCCATTGCACTCCAGCCTGGGTGACAAAAAAGCCCTTGTCCCCTCCAAAAAAATGAGAAGCAGAGGATGAATGGTAGGTAGATAATGAACTGAAGGGGACCCAAGAGAGCAAAGTTGTATTCATTCACTAAATGAAGTAAACGTTTACTGCCTTAAAAAAATCTCGGTACGCAACAGAATTAATTCTCATCCCTAGTGATGCTGGGCATTCTATCAGTGGCCATCTGCAGTGCTGAATTACTCATAGGCAGACCAAGCAGGGCCTCGGGGACATGTGTTCTGTGCTTAAGGCAAAGCAGGAACACCAAATACGGAGAAGAAAAGCTTTTCAAATAACTTAATATTAAATATTAAATATTTCCAAAAAATCAAATAATTATTTATCAAGAGGAAATCATAACTTGGTTGTACTTCCTTATACTTACTTTATGGTTTCATATTATTTTTATGTTTAATTATATGGCAGGTATTGGGATAGAGGGTTTAGAATAATACAAGCACTAATCTTTTCACTACTATAAGGATCCTGTTCTGGCCCTGGCTGTCTGACTTCGAGTAGAGAGTAATCTATTGGTGTTCTTCAGAATAAGACAAAAATATCTGTTATAGATGTACAGCATCTTCATGCAAGTGAGTTAGTGAGCTTATGTGAAAAAAGAAAATATTTGGATTTAACTTTCACTATTAATATACACACTCAAGGGCTTACTTTTAAACATAGGTTTTCTGATTTTTCATTTCTTAAATTATCACAGCAATGTGGTATTAATACCATATCATCTCTAGAAAACAGCTTGGTGAAAAGCTTGATTTGAAGAGAAAGAGGGAGTTCGTTACCCACATCTGATCCCCACAAATTAATAGTCTTTGGAGACTCGTATTAACAAACTTTTTTTGCATTTATTATATTGTTTTCTAGTATCTAATTAGAAAAGGATGGAGAAGTGGTAAGGGCTGTTTATCAAGTATTGACCCATACTGCATGAATGTAGTAGCCTGAACTTAAAAAAAAAAAAAAAAAAAGTACATAGCTTAGAAATTGTATGTGTAAAGACTACTGATTTGAAAAATTCTGGTTTCCCATTTTTTATGTACACAAATATATATATATATATATTTCTACTTACAGAATAAGTAATTAGTATCATGCAATGTGTACAACTTACCTGAAACCAATGTAACTTAAAGCAGTTATTCTGTCTAAAATCCTCTTGACTAAAATCTATCTTCTTTTGTGTGAATCCAAGTTATTATTATTCAGTTTTCCAGTACTTAAACAGACATAAATTTTTTTATCCTTTACTATGCTTTGTGATACATTTTAAAACTTGACAACAAATCATGAAATAAATTCATTTTAGGTCAGTGTCCATATTGCTACATGAATCAAAAATTTTTTTGTCCTATTCGTGTTCCAGATACCATACTCCTCAGCATCTCCTGGGAATTATGTAGTAAGTACATTTGGGTTTGTTTGCTCATAAGAATTGATGTTACGTTTTATTTGGGCAATGAAATAGTTGTCCAGATGTTAAGAAGAGCCCCTGTGTATTGGCCAAAAAGTGAACATCTTGAGTTGTTTCATCTGCCAACCTCAGTACATATGTTGATGTTCATTAGTGAAACAGTTATCAATCTGGCCAGAATTGCCCTGAGTACTGTGTTTTACTTCAGCATATGTTTCTGAAAACCAGTACAATACACTCTGTCCAATCATGAAGAGAGTAATCCCCAGTTACACAATAATATGCTTGAATTTGCAGTTCTCCAGGAGAATAATCTATACCCCCATGCAACCCTATGTGCCACACAGAGCGTCTAAGACATTAAACTTTCCCCCAATCACAGATGAATTAGATGGCAGAATAGTGACTAATAATTTAGAGGAATCATTTCATTTTTTGGTCATTCTTTGAAATTGAGAACACTTATTTTTATCATTATTACCATTTAGTACACATTAAAATTTTCCAAAAATTCATATCAATGTGAAGCCAAATTAACAAGTTTTATATGGCCTCCTGAGCTTACAAGTGACCTTTTAATCATCATCACATTATGATCCTAGCCACATCTCAAGGTCAACATAGAGGAAAATATGTTACACCATTTAGAGGGAAACGCCTAACAGGGAAACAAGGATAAAATGATAACAAGGGAAATCTTTCCTACAGAAATGTTCAGAGGTGGTGGCTAGCTGGAGGGGAAAAAAGGAATGCATAAGAAGGAAATCAGTGAGCATTTCACTCTCCATGGAAATAGTGTTTTATTAACATAGTGAAAAGCACACACTGCTTTGAACCTGTGAACTTAGTGTTCAGTGTTCGTGTAAGCTATAAAATTAAGCAAGTCTTTCTTTGCATTTTCTATGAAATAAAAATGAAAGTAAGAAAATTTGTATAAAACCTGTTTTTTTCTTAAAGTCACTAATGAATAAGGCTGATACATCATTTTATGAAATTATAGATATTTATTTAAAATAAATTTTAAGTTGTGCAAATACAGATATTATTTTAAATAATTGGCAGGTCTATAGCCATACCACCCTGAATGTGCCCAATCTCATCTGAAATAATTGGCAGGCTGTATCTGTACCTTCAGAATGAAGTTAAAATTTTGCCATTTAAAAGTTAATTTGATTGCTGTATATAGAGCATCTGAAAAAGCCTAAAACCCGTTGCCTGACTTATCTATTTTGGTTATGTGAAATTATTGAATTAACTTTAGAATTACCTAATCTCCATTTCAGTTTGATTGTGTAGCTACAGCCTCAGTAACCCACAGCATTAGTCAACTTTGCCTTTCATTTCTAATTGATGTGATAGTGGAAGGTACAGTGCTCCAGAAACATTGCAATTGATGCTGACAGAAGAAAGAAATGACATCAGTGCATTTTTTTAAAAATATGAATCAATAAGCAGATATCTTCATTTTTAAAGATATTTTCTAAGTGAATACTATTTTAGCTTTCTATAAAAACTAAAAATACATATGAATTATTTCTGTGGTATGGATTTTTAAAGGCCCTGTTGAATGGTTTCTTCTTAACCTCATTGTAACTGATATAATTAAGTCATGAATAATGAATTAACGTTACAGGCTCATTGTTTTTGGAAATTTGTCAAAACAGTCTCAACATATTTAAGCTAAATTATGTTTTGTAGAATATTTAAATGATTGTGCATTCAAAGAAAGTAAATTATAGAGAAAATTTATTTCTGTTCTTATTTTCAAATTGGATTATTATAGATATAAGTCTAACTTCTGTTTTTTCTTATGCAATGCCTTATTTTTACTGAAATTTTGTGTAATTATTTAGGGTCCTCCAGGAGGTGGAGGGCCACCAGGAACACCCATCATGCCTAGTCCAGCAGGTATTGTAATCAAACTAGCCACATGGGTATTTGATTATTAGAATAAAATCACAGACTATAGAAATTGTGCATGAAATAAAGGTAGTAGTAGTCATGTTCTCATGATGGTTAAAGGAGTAGAGGCAGCAGGGTAGGAAGAAATATAGTGTTCTTAAATAACTATTATCCAGTTAAGCATTTAGAAAATTCCTATGGTGTGGGTGTCAGATTTAATCAGGATGAAAACTGCTGATCTGTATGAATTGCCCAAAAATGTGTCAAACTTAAAGATTTATTGAGACTGAGAAAACTATCCAAATTATCTACAATTTAGAAAATTTCTGAATAAATAAAACATTAAATACATGGATTCATTAGGTTTCAAATGCCAAATCAGAGTCACGAGATCTATTATCTTACTAAGATGAATGAAGGATGAAGACGTACTTGCAGTATTATTTACCCTATATGTCTATAAGTATTTATTAGTCAGCTAATAAATTCACTGTGTAATAATAAAAGTTTTTTATCTTCTAAACTGAAACATCAATATTTTCATAATCATTTTATATAATTAAATAGTTTTATCCTTTATTTTTGAGACTTTAACACAGACTATTAAATGTGTCTTGAGGTTGTTAACAGTAGAAGACTAAATTGGCACACCTCTCTTCGAAAGTGCTATGATAAAATGTGTCAAGAGCCATGAAAAGGTTCATACCATGTGACTCTATAATTCTAATACTAGAAATTAGACAGAGATACAACCCAAGATTTATGTAGAAGAATGTTTATTTGTTATACTCAAGAATAAAACAGTAGACACAAACTTCATGCCTAATTCAATGTTAGTGGAACTATTAAATTAATGTTTAAGGTGGAAGATGGAGTATAATAGAGCCATTATTATGATTATCAAAGAATTTGTAATGACATGGAAAAATAAAATCTCATGATTCAGCAATATAATCACAGTTTCATTTGAAACTATAACACAAATCTAGAAAGTAGAAAACAAAGAAATAGGCTAAAACTCTATCAGTTATTATTTGGGATGATTAAGTAGATGGGAAATAATAATTATAAAGTATTTTTGATTATGATGTTTTACTGTTAAACTCATATGTTTTTAACTGGCTTGTTGAAATTAAGATGGAAGCTTGAAATTCAGTATCGTTGATCATACCAATAAAAATTTTTAATTTTGAGCCCTTTTAATTTAGAAAAATCATGAACTTGATAATTAATACAAAATTTTACTTTGCTTCACTAACTTCTTGGATATTTAATGGTCTGTGTCCTGAAGGCATCTTCATTGAAAATGATACAATTCATTGAAGATAGAATTGTATCACCTGATCATTTTGCCCATATTTACATTCTTACATAGTGAAGTTAATGTTTAATTTATGAAGGTAGCATGTGAATAATAAATGCTTCACTACAAGACTAAAAAAATGTTTTTGGAGCAACACTGAACATTGCAGGCAATAAATAATCTTACTACATCTTCCTTTCAAACCAGAAATTGCCACAAGTACATCTTCCTAGTCTTTTTGCGTACTCTTTTATGTGTTCATCCTGTGTCACAGTCACTCCTCTAATACTCAGCCAGCACCCCACCCACAAGAAAAGAGGTCCCAGGAGGTCCACTTTATTGTAAAGTTTTTCTGTACATAAAAAGAAGTCAGACATTTTCCAGTAAATACATACACACACACACACACACACATATATACACACACACATATATATATACACACACACACATACATATTTTTTCTTTGTTGACACAGAGTCTCCGTCACCCAGGCTGGAGTGCAGTGACACAATCTCAGCTCACTGTAACCTCAGCCTCCCGGATTCAAGCGATTCTCCTGCTGCAGCCTCCCGAGTAGCTGGGATTACAGGGGTGTACCACCATACCTGGCTAATTTTTGTACTTTTAGTAGAGACAGGGTTTCACCATGTTGGCCAGGCTGGTCTGGAACTCCCAACCTCAAGTGATTCACCTGCCTTGGCTTCCCAAAGTGCTGGGATTACAGGTGTGAGCCACCTCGCCCGACCATAAATGGCAATCTTATCCCTCTCAAATTTTTTCTGTAGCAAATGAAATTATATTCTTGATTAGTCTTTAAAATGATAAATTTCTTTTCTTTCTGCATATTTAAAATATGTAACCCACCTTCCTTTCACCAAGAGTAAGGCCAATACAGTTGAAAACCCATTTGAAGATTTCCTATGTTTAAAAAGCAATCCAAGATTTTTTTAAGTTAATCGTGTGTGTGATCCAACAGTTAAATTTAAGTTAGCAGTACTTACTGTCTTTAGTACACAAGATGAGTAAGGCATGGTCCCTTTCCTTCTCTCTATGAGCTTGTTATATCCTAGTTGGAAGCAGGAGGAAAGAATAAAGCAGTAAAATATTCCTATAATGGAAGGCAGAACTCAGTGGGAGGGGAGCACTCATGCACTTGCAACTACCAGGAAAAAAACCTCACAGAACACATCACATTTGAGATAGCCCTTCAGCAGTGAGTAGAATTGCAGTGTGTAGAGACTGGGCTGTTTGGAGGAAGAAAGAACAAAATCATGAAGGTGGAAAGGTTGGTCACCTGCAGGAAAAAACCAGTAGCCTGGGTTGACAGAAATACAGCATACACAAGGATGTGAAAACAGTTAAGGCCACAAAAGTAGGTTGGGACCTTCCTTAGAATAAACAAATAGGGTCAACATGAGGTGGGCACTCCAACTTTTTCAACATTATGATATATTCAAATAGAAGTAAAATACAGTATTTAGATTTATGGGTCATTGTTGACAGCCAACCAATAAATGACATGAGACCTACTCTGTAAGTAATGCACACTAAAATAATAAACTTATTAATGTCTAATGAGTAATCACACAGTAAAGGAAAAGTAATTGCCACTCTATGGTTACTGCCATGAGAAAGTAAATACTTACCTTCTGTCTCGAATCACCACAAAAATTTTAAACACATCTTTTTCTCAAAATGGGCCTACTGGCCAGGCGCGGTGGCTCACGCCTGTAATCCCAGCACTTTGGGAGGCCGAGATGGGCAGATCACAGGGTCAGGAGATGAAGACCCTCCTAGCTAACACAGTGAAACCCCATCTCCACTAAAAGTACAAAAAATTAGCCGGATGTGGTGGCACGCACCTGTAGTCCCAGCTACATGGGAGGCTGAGGCAAGGGTTCCCGCTTGAACCTGGGAGGCAGAGGTTGCAGTGAGCCAAGATCATGCCACTGCACTCCAGCCTGTGTGATAGAGCAAAACTCCGTCTAAAAAACAAAATAAAATAGGCCTACTACATTATATTTAAGAAAATTATATAATGTGGAAACATAGAAAACCATAATTTATCATTTATATTTTCTCAGTGTAAAATATTTAGCCTTTCACTCTAGGTTTTATATTATACAAACATGTATGCTCAGAGACTTAATTAGAATTAGCTAACAGACATGAAACATAAATTTTTTAAATACTGCACAATGTTACATATATTTATATGGATATGTAGTACAGATATTTTTACTACAATAAATCAAAAATAAAGTGAGTGAAAACATTTCATCAGAAATTGTGCTGGAAGAAGCTGGCTTTTAGTTCAAGCAAGAGAATTACATTATTCTAATTGTATACTCTAATCTTTTTCTTTTGGAATTAAGCCAGGATAGTCTACCAGTTTTCACTAATTATTAAGTAAAAAAGCTATTTTTTAAATTTGTATATAGGAAACTTAAAGAAATAAAACTGAAAAGCAACTGAATCTGAAGTTTAAGAGATATTATATATTATATATATACACATACACACACATATAATTGCTTGAAGTGAAGAAGTATCTTTTTTTAGAAGAAAAACTTTACTATAATTTTTAAAATTTCTAATACTCCTTTTACATTAATTATTGAAGTGATTATTCCTCATACCTAATTTATGGCCTCAGAATGATAATTTTGGGGTCAGCAAATGACTGGGTATTTGTTTTTAGTAATGACAATTTCGTTGCAGCTTATATAGAGAGGTGTATGTATGCAAACCATCTTTGATCATTACTTTGTGATGAATTGGGTATAGATTCTAAAGAAATATTTTAATTAAGTAATACTTTGTTTCAGATTCAACCAACTCTGGCGATAACATGTATACTTTAATGAATGCAGTACCTCCTGGACCTAACAGACCTAATGTAAATATGAATTTTTTAAATTTTTGGAATATATTTGAAGACTTTCAAACTCTGAGTGCATTCCATGTTCTGTATATTGTTTAAACTTTATATTTTATTATCCAGGAGCTTATTAGATATTCAAAAAGTCAAATTCTTTTCTCTGAGCTGGGTTAAAAATAGTACACATATATAACAGAGACTTTATATCAATATAATTTAAAAGTAATTATTATACATTAGTTTTATCTTATTTTGTAAATAATTAATGATATATACTACTTGAAAATGACAAGTTATATATAATCATTTATATTAACCTCATTTTTAACATCACTAAGTTTTTTCATTGTGATCTTTTTTTGTCCTGATAAACTTGAAAATAAAGGAGAAAGTTGGCTACGCTTGTTTTTTTTAGAATATGAAATCTAGAGTTTAAATATGGAGCTAAAGCAGTTATTACAGGAAGAACTTGGGTGTTCTTAATAAAGCATTTGGTCGTGATTTTTCCACAGAAGCTCACAGGAAAACATTTTATTTATCTATAAGGCCTACATGTTTACAAAAATATTTATAACAGATTATAGTTAATACACACGTGTATATAGGGTAGCAGAAATCAAAGAAAAATCAGAAGATATATATGTTATATGCTAAACTGACCAAATATATATACCTATAGTTTTAGCATCTTTTAAAACACTGTAGGAGCCAGATAAAAGTTCACAGTCTACTAGGCCTACCAGCACCAGTTTCTCAACCCATATCTAAACTATGTTTTTGATAAAAGCTAAATAATAGCAGTAAGTTTAAATCAGTTTCTTTGACTTATATATATCTTACATCAGTGAGGCATGCATATTCCAATTTGTTTACTGAACACCAGCCTGTGTGCTTTTAGATACTCAATTTTACCAAGCAAAATTGGCATTCTCTTGGGGAATGTTATAAGCATGTGTTTTGTATTGCCCACAGTGATAGAAGGCCATTTTATTCCCACACAGAGGTGGTGAAGTATAGGGTTGCCTGCCAAAGGCAGTTATTTCTCCCTAAAAGCCTTCATGATTACTCACCACCACCGCTCCATCCACACACAGACACCATAGTCAATATTCTGTATCATACAACATTGTAGAAATGCTTTTGGCATGGGAAATTTGAAGAGAAAGTGTTTTCAGCGGGCTGTCTTACCTGTAAGTGTAAGGTAATCATAGGTAACTTGTCTTTGAACTGGGCTCCAGGTTTCCTTAGTGTTCTAGAGAGATGAGAGGAAGACTGAGTGGGCGGGCCATGGGTTCTCTATCACCAACCCCATCATAGCACACCTGTTTTGTACCAGGCTTCTAATGTAAGATTTCACCTGAAAAGAAAGGAAAGAAAAAAAGAATTCCACTACTTTAAAAAATGTTAAGCAGAATGGCCTTGGAATGTCTGAGTGTCATTGAAGTAACATGGTTGAGACTGCCAAGAAGAATTACCTATATTCAGCAATCCCCAAGGAGTGAAATGTATTTAACCTATAAGATGAAATTATTTATTATATCCATTTAAACAAAGACAGATTGCCTGCTAAGAAAAATGTTAATGTTGTCATAATGACATTGAATTTTTCTTATTAATAAGCCAATACCCTTAACAGCTTCTTAAGAACCACCTTTGGTTTTCAATAGAAAATTTGTCAATATCATAGAGGAAAATGCTTATCTTCTAATTTGCACTGGAATTTATATAGTTTCTGAGTATATCTGAAGAAGAAAAATTTGGAGATGATTGAGGATTAAGCTAAACGTCTATATGTGGAATACAGAGAAAATGATATGAGAGAGGTGAACAGTCCAGTTAGAGAATCCACAAGGCTGAAAAACATCAAGTAAAAGATCTCCATAGCTTGAAAGTAAAAATAAGTTGTGGCAGTGTCTTGTAATGTTAAATATATTGTAAAATTGAGATAAGCCATTGTTTTCAGTGTGATTACAGTGATTTTCTTCATTTTTAAAATAGTTTCCAATGGGCCCTGGGTCAGATGGTCCCATGGGTGGATTAGGAGGAATGGAGTCACATCACATGAATGGCTCTTTAGGTAAGGCTTTTCAATTTGATGTTTAGAATAAATTCAGAAGAAAACCTTAATTCTACATAGTGGATATTACAGTTTCCAAAGTTCTTCCATAGCCAGCTACTCATTTTTAAACACTTCAACTTTTACCTCAAACAGATAGTTTAATCAACATTTTATTGGTTATAACTATAGATCACTTGAAGATCAGAAGTGTGAGAATTGTTCTAGTTCATATTCACAGTTATTTACTTTAACCTATAGAAATCTCATGTCTTACCATAAAAGGAGACATTGCTGCTGTGGGCACATGTCATGCTTGCCCAACCCAGAAGGCTGCAGTATTCTTGCAGCTGTTTTGTTGTTGTTGTTTTGTCTCGAGTTCTATGGACACAGTCTCAGAAGAACTTCAGTTCTCTCCAAAAATTTCTTAATTTTGTTTTTGAATTTTTATGTTTGCTTCCTTTTTAACATAAAATTGTTAATCATATTCTGGATAATTTGAATGATTCTCTTTTAAGAGAACACTGCCTACATTGTCTTCGTGATAAAGACCATTTCAAGTATGTGACTGACGGTTGAAAACATACTTTATAGT